TAGCATAGACTTTCAGCTTGCTTGCAAAATCAGTTAAACAATTTACTGTTAAACATGCACTGGATAATATTGAGGCTTTTGCTTGGTATTTGGGTGTCTAAAAGTTCTTGATTTGTATTAACAGCAAAAAACCTGTAAAATGACTTCATGCAGCTCCAAATTTACCTGTTCTAAATAGTTTGCAGGTTAAATTTGCTAAGTTTAATCAATCAATATACAATATTTTCTTTGCTGGCCTGACAGGAAACTTACCAGGTATTGTGATCTCCAGCTGTGGGTTTTTTTGCCTCTTACATCATCATTAGTTATAAAGATTCTGTGATTTGAACTTTGCCTGACAATGAACCTTAAGGCCAGTTCATTCTTTCATAAACATTGGTTTTACACTGCTAACAGAAGTAGCATTTTGCTTTAACCAGTAAAGGAAAGATGACTCAAAAACATGCAGTGTAAAAATGCTTTGACAAAGTGGGTGCCATTCTTATATGGACATTTTTCTGACTTCAAGAACACTTAAAACACCATAAATGGTTCTTGGTCAGTCGTTAGGGTTTGGTGGATAATTTGCCAAGGTGGCAAAGAAATGAATCTGTTGCTAGTGTGTGTTCTTAATACCCAATGAATGTAGCTGCATAACATTAACCTTGGAGCAAATGAGCTATTTTCATATGTGGAAAGCTAAAATGGATTTACCTTGAAAATACTTTTACCAAGCCAAAAAGATAACATCAAATAGGGAAGGAAGGAAGAAAAGGGGAGCAAAACAAAGCAGGAAAAACCTTTATTCCCCCACTTTTTATAAGCCTGCTGCATTTTTTTCAAGGAAGTTGGTGTCACGTTAGGAACTAATAAGTTTGATCTTTGTCCCATTCATACATTAGTGTTTCCAAGCTGATAGCTGAACAGAATTGGCTCTTGCATCCGATTACATTCTGTTAGCCTGATAGGTGACAACAACTACCCCATTGATCGCGGTATGTGTACGTTAAAAAAATACATTTCTTGTTTTATTATTCTTTGTAAGCCAGCAGCATCAAAGGAATGAGCTGCCCCCACTGCTCTCACAGCTGCTGCCTATGTCTGTTCTATATATACACTAAACTAATTGGAAAAACAGGGACAAAAAGGCATTTAGTTCAGGTCAACCAATTGGACTACCGCAAATGCATGACAGGCTTAATCATTGTCTTTTGCCAAAGATCAGGTTGCTACGGGCAAGCACTCCAAGCCTTACTTCTGAAAATTGGTCTTTTTCCCCTGCCTTGGAACATGGACACTGTGAGAGAAGGCATTCAGACAGACTATGGGCATTGTAGCAGGGTGTGATGACAAGGATATTTTCAGGAAAAGCTATTTGTCCTGATCAGCTATGAACTCAAGGTTCAGCCTAAGTTCCTTATGAGTTTGTGTGAAGCTTGAGAAAGACACAGTGTTCTCTCTTGACAAAAGTGATGCGGTTAATTACTAAATTCTTGTAGTAGAGTCAGTATTGTTGTAGCTACAACCTGAAGAAGGGAAATTTGTGTCTTGTGTCTAACATCTCTCTTGACTATACATTGATCCAATAAAAGCTATCAACAAAAAAATCCTTGAATAGTTATAGACACCAAATCAGTTTATGGTACCATATCATGCTAAAAACATAAAGGAGAATCTTTGCTTTGTTGCAACCTAGTTTTTGTCATCATCCATGCAAATGAACATTGGCAAAAGTAATTTTAAAAAGCCTAACCCTCTTAATGATTAACGAATTCTGGATCATCTACATTTGCTTTCATCACAAATATAGGTGTGTATTTACAATAGAGGTAAGTTGATAAATCATGGAAATTGGCAAAATGCCTCTTTTTTTAAATTTTTTCCAATAAATGGGCTTTTTAGAAGTTGTAAATGACTAGCCATCTCAGCATGAATTCTATATTGTAGAAGTAATTAGTATGTGGTGAACAGACTATTTTTTCACACTAATTAGCATTATTTTCTTCTGAAATCTAAAGGAAAAATATACACCAAAAATGGCTTTAAATTAAAAATAGATCAGGGATCAGGTGATCTAGGGAATTCTTCATTGCCTAGTATTTTCTCTCCAGGTAGTTGAAGTTTGTGGAAATTATTACACATACAGTCTACTTGTTATTCTTTTATTGAAAAAAAAAAAACTTTGCTTCCCTATTTGTGCTGTTGATTGTATCAATAATCTATTTTTTCTCTTCTCTTTTTTATTTCTAGGCCTTCTGCATTATCTAATAGCCCAACGTATTCAGATCTTCCATTCATTAGAATTTCTCCACACAGAAATCCGGCTGCCACCTCAGAATCCCCCTTCAGCCCTCCTCACCCTTACATTAACCCATACATGGACTACATTCGATCCCTGCACAGCAGCCCTTCTCTGTCCATGATCTCAGCAGCCCGAGGACTCAGCCCAACAGACGGTGGGTTAAGAATGGTTTCCTGTTTGCTGTCATTGTGGCGACTTAAGTTATATTAATCTTGTCAACATTTTTTTCTTCATACAAAGCAGCTTCAGCACCTTTGTCAGATATATTCATTATGTCATAAATGTTTCAATACTTCATCAGCCTATCACTGGTCATTTGTATATTTCACAAATGCTGAAACTTTTGCAAAAAAAAAATCCTCATGCAAAATTTAAAATCTAAAGGGGCGTCAGCTTTAGAACATCTTTTGTCTGTGGGATGGACTGTGGGTGTGATTTTGTTCTTTCTGTAAATCAAGAATATCTGCACTGAATCAAACCAAATTCTTAATTAGTGAAAATTAGTGGAGCACCATATTCATGGAACGTATTTGTTGGGAAGTTCTTTTCTTTAATTAAAACAGTAGTTTTATTATCTTAACTCTGTACTCACTGGGTACTTTGAACCATTATAGCACTGCTTAATTTCAGTGGAACAGTGATTTCTTCTAGGTGAGGATCTGGCCAAATGAGGTTACACTGCAATAAAGTAGGTGATTGGTGATCACAGGCAAATCCTATGTGTTTAAATTAGTCAAATTTAGGTAGTATAGTTAGGAAATGTCGTTTCCTTTAGGTTTGGCTGGTATACAGATATTACTTTCCTGTTTATTTGGATGTGAGTTTAACATCTGCAGTCTCTCCTCTATCGTTATTCTGGCAAAACTCCCATTAATTTCATTGGGACTTTTCCCTGAGTGAGCAGTGAACAGAATCACATGTAGGCTGGATCCTGTTAATTATTTTGTTTCCATAGTTTAGTAGTTTGATACTTCAAAATGGTAATGTTTTGCTGAATAGAATTAAAATGTATAATTTAGTGGCAATAATTTAACTCCTTTTTAACTAAGAAAAAAGATCCTTTCAATGCACACACAAATTTACAAAAGAGAGACAAACTGCCGTTAGCTGAATTTGAAAAATGAGCAGTACACCCTGCCCAAATGGATAACTAATGAATCCTCACTTATAAGAACATATACCTTTACAGCTAATCCATTAGTTATGGGTGCATATTCTTGTGAGCATAAATTTTAATGACCTATTGTCAATCAGAGTTTATGCATACACATAAGGCTTTTTTGTCAGTGGTATGGACTGTTTGGTGATTGTGTAAATCATGTTAACTCTATGCTTCTCTAAAAAAAGCTCTGCAGTGACTGGAAAAATTATTTTAAAGGAACTTGTCACTAACTACTGTGGAGTGCTTATCCTGCCTCAGAGACTTTTGATAGATTTATTTTTAAATAAAGATGTTATAATTATGTGTTTCTCTATTTTTTAATAAAAGTTAATATAAAGGACAATTCAAGAACCTTTTATCAAATCTAATTAAAAAAAAAATCACTTACACTTTGATTCTACTCCACTGCATGCATAAATAAAGACCAATGCATACCATCCATATGGCATATCTGGCATGAGGTGTCAATAAAATGACCTGTTTTTTTAAAGGCAGGTAAATATGTTGCACAGCTAGCTGTATGTGCTAGTCAAGCATGGAACCATACAACCTTTATTCAGAGAAAGCTTCCTAGGATCATACCATAATGTCTCGTGTTCATTTATAGTCCCTGCCCCATTTTGGGTACTACCAGAATGCAAATTACAATGAATAACAGCATATTTGTTGCCATACGTGTGCATATATGCACACTACTAATGTCAGAACTGAGTTACTAATCCATTCAGACACATGCACAACGTGCACTTGAAGGCAAATACAATTGTGCTGTTTTCCTGAAATACATAAAAGGTATGTATCATTAATTAAATTGCTTTAGGCCATTTAAATTACTGTTCCAGGGATCAGTACACTGATGCACAGATCCTGGGATAGGTGGAAACTAAAAAAGCCTAGAATGTAACCCAAAGCAAGCTACAGGTCTGCTCTGTTATGCCTCTTGTAGCCTTTTGGTGAAGCAGGGGAGAACATAGCTGAGTGCCTTGCATCCTGCCCTGTCACTTTTAGGAACACCGGTGATGCAGAATCATTCAAAAACTCACTTCAGCAACACAAAGCAGCCAAGGACTGGGCCCATCCAATTTGTATGTTTTCCAGTACAGTCCCAAATGCTCTCAGTGTTGTCCACACACAAAGAAGACACAGGGGCTCACTTTTCTGCAGTTTACACTTGCATAAAACTGGAGTGACTCCACTGAAGCTACCATGGGGTAAAAGCTGGTGCAAAGTGACAAAGACCTGGTCCCTGGCCTAATAATCTCAAATTCTAAATGACCTGTGTCACAGCAGGGCTGGATTTGGATCACCTCTTAATGGTGCAGTCCTGCTAAGATGCCCATGAGTAGATTTATACATGTGAATAGTTCCATTAAGTTTTGCTTTTTCCAAAATACTTAATATATATATATATATTAGCTACATATTTTGGAAGCTGAACTTTGCAGCTAAACTCAATTACTCTTCAACTAACACATTATTAGTTGGCCAATTTTTTTATATTTAAAGAAGGCCTTCAGGAAAGCTTTCTTAAGTAAGCCAAAACTTGAACATATGGAGCATTAGTAGTACAGTTATATATGTTCATCTATGCCTTTGCTGGTTCTGCTGCTTTTCCTTCTGAGCTTGCAGTGTTATTGTTAGTTAACCCAGACACTTATGTCAGAAAGCTCAGGAAGCATTTTAAGTGCGTCTGGAAAGATATTGCAGTTGCCTACTACTGTAAAATTTTAAAATCAATGACTCAGTATAATGAGTTTTTTTTAATTTGAGTCAAATGCTTTTCTTACCATTTTACAAGAGGTGACAGTGGGCGAGGAAGGGATTCTAATTATTTTGTAATTTTGATGGGGTTCCTTTTTGGTTCTGTTTCTTTACTATCCTTACTCCTGAAAAGTCCTTTTCTAAACTCCTTTTCTTTTTCCTACCTTTTTTCTGAAAGTTTGACTTAAAATAATGTATACTCTTCAATGTGTTGTCTTTCATTATATATCAGCAAAACGTGTTTCTGCCTATTTTATCTCTAAGGGTACAGTCTGCTTTGTAAATTCTGTTGCTGTAGGAGCTTTCACTCTGACATCACCATTTTTTCCTTTTAGACAAACTTTGGTGCTTGTTTGCATTTTGGACCTGATCCTTCCAGCACAGATTCAAATAAGTAACTTCACCCATATTAGTAATCCTACGTGAATAAAATTATTCAAGTGTTAGTGTTTGTAGGAGCAGTGCTTGAAGTTTTACTTCCGCTCAGGATATGCTAAATGAAAGCAAGGAGAAATGTATAATAAAAAAGTATAAATTAATCTTAAATTCAAGGATGTTAATAAACGTTAAAAACATTAATGCACTGTACTGAACAACATTTGTAAGAGTACAGTAGGACAATTTTGTTAACTCCACTTTACAAAGAAAGCAACTAAACAGGCTAAGATTACTTAGCCAAGGTCGCATGGTCACATGGTATGCCATAGAGCAGAACCAAGAATAGAACCAAGCTTTTCTAATACATAGGGTATAGACAGATGAGCATGTATACCACTTTAAAGGTAGGGATGCAGTGGGGGAGAAAGCAGGGAGACCTACCATACAGGACTGTCAGTCAGCTGATTTGTGATTTGTGTTGTGTCTTCACTCCTGTGGGATGCAATAGGTGCACCACAATAATATGTCCCTGAATAAAACAGGGAGTAAATTATTGTGATTTAGCTTCTGCATAATGTGGAATAAAGCAGATAGAAAAACAGTTATAGGGGATTCCTCTGAACTATAGTGAGTGCCTCCCCACTTCTAAAACACCATAATTGTGTAATCTGTCCTACCCCCACCTTCTGCTTTAAACCACAAAACCACCTCCTAATTATTGTAGTATTAGAGGCCCACTTAAATGGTGTACTGTTAAACTAACAGATTTTCTCATTAGCCCAGGGTTATACCTCATTTAATGGCATGGAGTTTAGTAATGCTTCACCAATTTATGGGGAAAATAGCGTATAAATGCTTTTTAAAGAAGAAAAAAGTGTTCGCTTTTATAAGATTAAAAGAAGTCATTGTCAGAGGACTGGATGACTCATAAATTTGGTAATAGTGTATAGAGACTTCCCCTAAATCCTGCAAACACTTGGACATAAGTATTTCCATTAAGTTCATTTGGAGTGCTCTCATAAGTACAGTTACATATGTGTTTGTAGGAATGGTAGAAGGCCTCACTCAACTTGAATTCAGCCTAGATCAAAAATAAGTTGCTCCCATCTGAGAGCTACATGATCTGAGGAAGTCAGCTTGTCCTGCTCCAGCTCTACATACACAAAAACCTTTGCCATAAATTAAACTCTTTTGGTTTTCTCAACAGAGTCCAGAGACTAGAATGAGCTTTGCTGCCTCTGGAGATAGTTCCTTCAAGACGGGGTTGAGACATATTGGCAGAAGGCTTTGGAGAGATGCTATTGCTACTTGCAGTTAGCTTTTATGTGACTAAATAAAACATATTAGTTTCCGGTGCTGTCAGTCTCACCTGGAGATTCACTTACAAAAATAAATATAAAAAATGAGGTCACCACGAGCTAATTAATATTTTATGTCTTGCTGTTTCTGAATGGTGTCTTTGCATTATCATTGGTTGAAAGATATTGACCACAATGGCATATTGCAGACGTTGCATTACATTAAAAAATAAACAAGCTGATTTAATAGCTAAAGGGAAACAGTTGTGTAATAAAACTCTGCTTCTTGTTTATCTTACGTCATTAATGGCACTTTTTATGTTGTGTTTTTAGCTCCCCATGCTGGAGTCAGTCCAGCTGAATATTACCATCAGATGGCTTTGTTGGCAGGTCAGCGCAGCCCGTATGCTGACATCATTCCTTCTGCTGCCACTGCAGGAGCTGGTGCCCTTCACATGGAGTATCTTCACGCCATGGATAGTAAGTGACCACACCACATAGAATGAGGCAAATTACAGCCTCAGTCCTACAAAGACAACTGCATGGGTCGACCTCTGTGAGTGCATGGAACCTTGCTGATATCAGTGGGACTTTGTGTCCCCATGCTTCTTTTTACAGGATGCTGGCCTGAGTGTACTTTGGGAGGAATAGCACTGCAAATTTGACAGTGATCCTTAAAAGGGAATCAGGAGGGAAATTTGACTGATCCTGATCATAAAGGGCTATGAACAAAACTGACCTTCAGTGGGACTTAGGTGCTTTTAAAAATGTTGCCTTAAACATCAACCAGATGCAAGTCAGTTTTATCATTAATGTTGATGTATTCACTATTACTAAGGAAAATGTTTACATCAATTTTTCTAATCCTAGTAAGTGTCCTCCTTAAAACAAAACCACAAAACTAAATAAATAAATAACGTGAACAACTTGTAAAATGTGCTGAAAGAGTTTTCGGAGAGAAACAGCAGTATTTCACAATTGTACAACATTGCACTGAAGAAGCATTGAGGTTGTTCTGGCTTACATGTTATGGATTGTTGAGTCCCTGAGAATCCCAACCTAAATTTCTATATAGCTTCCTCCACCACTTAACCTTCTTTGAGACCTTTCATCGTTGTCTAGCAAACGAGGAATTGAGAGCGCTCCATGTAAAGCTGTTCACTGCTACTGCTTAATCAGCCAAAAAACGGTTGCTGTTGAATTATGGAAAGTACTCCACTCCACTTAAGAGGTGCTTACACTGTGTGTGGAACAATCTCAGCTCCCTGAAACTTGGGAAGTCTGAGGCTGGGACTAGAAATCAAGCCTTGTTGACTCTCACTTGGCAGTAGGGAACAGTACTACTGTATTAGACCACCTGTTTGGCCTGTAACTTTTTAAAATCCTTGCTAGTGCGTGGTTCTGTATCTCATTATTGGCCATATTCCATGGCTGCTGATCCCAAGGAGTTGACATCAAATATGAGAGTTATGAGGCTCCCCCACAGAATGTATAAGAGCATGGGAAAGCCGCTGTTGTAAGGAAACCCTTTGCAGTTTGTTTGAATATGTTTGTGTGTGTATGTGTGAGTATATGCATGAGTATGTAAGAGATGTGATGGAGTAATCATTTTTGCAAGAGTCAGGCAAACTGTACGGAGCAGGAATTGAACATGCAAATTAAACATTTTCATTGATTAGTTGGAAATAAAGTGAGCATATTTTTTTAACTTTAGTCTGTTTCTGTTAATAATGATATATTGTGCTGCAGCTGTACACTGACTTTTGGTAGGTAGGTAAGATATCCTAAGCTTATTTATTTCCTACTTAAAGAGGCCTATAATGAATATGTACAAGTAGAGTTGACATAAAACCAGATTTACAGATATCAGTCCTGCTGAGCTTCACAGAACATGACGCTTTCAGAAGGGTTTTCAGAGTACAATGCAAGAAATGGGTGATAAATTACTATTCGCTGTTATTAATGTGTCTAGAATACCATACTTACTCGAATCCAAGACGAGGCCTTTTTCCACATGGGGGTGGGGGGGGGCAGGGTAAGCCTCTCTACTTGGATTTGAGTCCAAGGCAATTGGGAGGAGTGGGAAGCAGATGGCTGTTGCACATGTGACTCTGACCAACCCAGAATGGCCATTGCTGCCCACCCCTCTCCCGCTGCCAGTTCTGCCTTCTCCCAATCCCCGCACCTCCACTGCTGCTTGCCCTCCGCTCCAGCATGTCTCTAGCCCTGCTGCAGTCCAGAGCACAGAGTACATGCTCCAGCTCAGCCATGCAGCAGCGGTGGCAGTAGCAGCAGCTTCAGTCTCAGGTCAGGGTTCAGGGCTGAGTGGGAGCTGCTGCCACTGCACTAGCTGCTGCATGGCCAGGCTGGGGCTAGAACAGGGCTCAGGGGTGGAGGCGGGGCC